TCTGTGTAGTTTTGGTGCCTGTCCCGAATTTTGCTCTGTAGAACAGGCTGGCCCTGAACTCACAGAGATCCACCTGGCTCTGCCTCCCAAGTGCTGGGATTTAAAGGTGTGCACCAACACCGCCCGGCTATATTTCTTCTCTTGTTTAAGGTATTATACCTATGCAGCTCATTAAAAAATGTAATAGACAGTCTTCAAACACTTCAGAGACCTACAGAATATGGCATTTGAGATGTTTTAATAACACAAGGCTTTACATGGCAGTGAGACATATCTGTTCCTGGAAGCACCAATTTACTTAAAAAAAAAACATGATGAGCATTGAAGAACCTCCCATATGGAGTTTGCTTTGATCAAAGCTATCCATTTGGGCAAGAAACTGCCCTTCCCTCGACTGCTGACAGTATGTTGTCCAAATTGGATGAGCAGGACACAAAAAAAAAGGTGACTGCTAAACTGTGCCAAGACAAGGTAGGACAGTCCTTCAAAATTCCTGCCTCATAAAAATGTTTGTCAGATAGTCTAGGCCTGTAGGCTGAAGATGGATGCCCCAATGTTACAGAGGAACCTTGGGTGACTGTCCTGGAAGCCAGATGTCTGTTGTTTCTTAGTTTTGGAAGTTGCTTGCTCTGCACTTCCTGTTTATTCAGGTAATATTATATCCTTCTCAAGTCTTTGATGGGGCTATAGACTAGATAGTTATACAGTTTTCCTTGTTACCAAATTCAGAAAAAAATTTACATAAAAGATGTAAAGTTTATAAGGTTGAGAAACATAAAAGCTTAAGTTGTTTAAGAAAAAATTTTAATGTTTAAAAAGATAATTTTGGGTTGGTAATATAAGTTAGGATAGAAAGTAAATTAGGTACAAAACTTTTGACTCACCAAGATATGATAAATAATAAAGTAATTTCTCCAAACTTGCCAAATACAAATGGACTGGACATTATAAATATAATTCTTACTTGATAATTGTTCTTATTGTATATAATTTTACTGTATTAGAGTTAAAACCTTTCCTTTTTATTTAGACAAAAAGGCAAATATGTTGTGGGATATTTGTATACTGTGTGAAGATATATTGCTGTGATTAATTTAATAAAGAGCTGAACAACCAATAGCTAGGCAGGATACATAGGTGTTGTTTGAATCTTACATGATCTTTTAATTAAAAACCCAGAGCCAGATATCAGGGTGAAAGCTGAAAGATCAGAGAAGCAGAACAGCCAGCCACTAGTTCTTACTTCTATGAAATTCTCAGTCTAAAGAGAGTGAGTTCCTGTTTCCTCACATCTTATATACCTTTCTCTGCCCTGCCATATTATTTCCTGGGATTAAAGGCATGTGTGCTTCCCAAGCAAAGGCATAAGATCTCAAGTGCTAGGATTAAAGGTGTGTGCCACTACTGCCTGGCTCTGTTTCTCTCCTATACTGGATCAATCTCATGTAGTCCAGTGTGGCCTTGAACTCATAGAGATCCAGATAGATCTGTGCCTCCCGAGTGATATGATTAAAGGTGTGTGCCACCACTGCCTGACCTCTATGTCTAATCTAGTGGCTGGCTCTGTCCTCTGATCCTCAGGCAAATTTATTAGGGTACACAATATAGCACCACATATAGGTGGGATTTCCAGGCAGAGAGAGGAAGTAGGAGATGAATTGAGGCACAGAGGAGATGCCAATGAGACATGGAGGGAGTTGGACATACAGAATGAAAGAAAGGTAAGAAGCCACATGGTAAAATGTAGATTAATAAAACAAAGTTAATTTAAGTTATAAAAGCTAGTGGGGCAGGGCAGTGGCAGCGCATGCCTTTAATCCCAGCACTAGGGAGGCAGAGCCAGGTGAATCTCTGTGAGTTCGAGACCAGCCTGATCTACAGAGCAAGATCCAGGACAGGCTCCAAAGCTACACAGAAAAACCCTGTCTCAAAATACGTGTCCCCTCCCCCCCGCAAAAAAAATGCTAGTGGGATGAGCCTAAGCTAAGGCCAAGCTTTCATAATTAATAATAAGTTGTCTCTGTGTTGTTATTTGGGAGCTGACTGGTGGGATAGAGAAAAACTCGTTACACTATCCATATCAGACCAGCCTGTGGGCACATCTGTGGGAGATTGTTTTGCTTGTTAATTGAGGTAAGAGAGCCCAGTCCACTGTGGGTGGCACCATTACCTACGCAGATGATCCTGGGTTATATAAGAAAGTTAGAAGCCGGGCGGTGGTGGCGCACGCCTTTAATCCCAGCACTTGGGAGGCAGAGCCAGGCGGATCTCTGTGAGTTCGAGGCCAGCCTGGGCTACCAAGTGAGCTCCAGGAAAGGCGCAAAACTACGCAGAGAAACCCTGTCTCGAAAAACCAAAAAAAAAAAAAAAAAAAAAAAAAAGAAAGTTAGCTAAACTGGGTGGTGGTGGCACATGCCTTTAATCCCAGCACTCAGGAGGCAGAGGCAGGAGGATCTCTGTGAGTTCAAACCAGCCTGGTCTACAGAGTGAGTTCCAGGACAGGCTCCAAAGCTACACAGAGAAACCCTGTCTCGAAAAACCAAAACCAGAGAGAGAGAGAGAGAAAAAAATAGCTAAACAGAAACCTCTGTGAACCAGGAAGCAACATTCCTCCATGGTTTCTGCTGTACTTCCTTGGTTATGAAGCGAGTTCCTTGGTCAGAAGTCATGCTGTGAAGAATAGCAAGCAGGCCTGTCTTCAGGTTCTCTCGTGAGTTCCTACCCTGACTTTTCCTCAAGGATGGACTGTAACCTGTAAGCTGAAATAAACCCTGTCCTTCCCCAAGTTGCTGTTCGTTGGAGTGTTTTATCACAACAGAAGCCACCCCGGCTCTGCTTGTGCAGTATCCTCTACTGGAAGGCCTTTGCCTCCCGTAGCCCTTCTCAAAGGAGTCCCTGAGGTGGGACTCCATGTTCTTCCTCTTCTAGAAGGCCTCTGGGGAGGAGTTGTCACCCGTCCAGCTTCCACCCAGCCCAAAGCACACAGGAACTGTCCCTGGGCTGGGCTCTCAGGTTGTAGCCTCATCAGAAAGTACAGTTTTGCTCCATCTATGCTTTCTCTGGCCACACCCAGAATTTGCCTGTCCCCAGGGAGCCCCACACATTGTCTGAGTACACAAACCCCGAAGACAGGCACAGGGGCTGTGGAGGGAGTCAGGGCAAGGCAGGGTCCATTTGCCTAATGCTTTGGTCTGGCTGGTCACAGAATGGCACACCCCACGGGGGAGGGAGCGGCAGTCACCTGGCGAGAGGCGTCTTTAGAGAAAGCCAGCCTCTACCTTTAGTCTTCTTTACGCCGTGGAGGGTAGGCTTGGGGGCGGCGGGCAGCCTTTTCTTTTGTCCACTGTGGGCCTAAGAAGAAGCGAGACACCCTCCTGGGGCGCCCAGGTCCATCACTGAGTGACCAAGCCTCAGTGCCCCACCGCAGCCGCAGTCATGGATAGGTTCCGGATGCTCTTCCAGCACCTTCAGTCCAGCTCGGAGTCCGTGATGAACGGCATTTGCCTTCTGCTGGCTGCCATCACAGTCAAGATGTACTCCTCCTTCGACTTCAACTGCCCCTGCCTAGCACGCTACAACGCCCTCTATGGCCTGGGCCTGCTGCTCACACCCCCTCTGGCCCTCTTCCTCTGTGGTCTCTTGGTCAATAGACAGTCTGTGGTGATGGTGGAGGAATGGCGCCGGCCAGCAGGCCGCCGGAAGAAGGACCTGGGCATCATCAGGTAGGGTCCCGCACACCTCTCTGCTACCCAGGGCAGTTGATGTTATCAGGTACACTCCCCCTTGCCCCAGCTAAGGATATTGTCCTCATTTTCCAGTTCCCATCTGGAAACGTGTGTGTGTGTGTGTGTGTGTGTGTGTGTGTGTGTGTGTGTGTGTGT